CTAAAACTAAATACGCTGGAAACTTGTCGAAAGAGGTAATTTGACCACCGGAAAAAATATCGCATTTTCTCGGTGCGACAACGCATAATGCGTGTACGACGGGACCCGGCATTTGTGGTGCAGGCGTCAGGCTTTTACCTTCAAGCGAACACGACATCTGTGTTGATGGGTCACAACACCCCGGGGCACAGCTCTTACAAAAAGTTGAAGTCTCTCAAACTGTGAACGTAAAGGCACTTAGCCAATTACGCGTAAAGGCAGTACAGTAACCTCCGAGTCCCTGCCATGTGCGAGGTCAATTGGCCCGCACCTGTGGTAACGCGTCACTTTTATTAATCAAAGGGGAACGGGGCTGGTGGGCAGCGAAAACTGGGTGCCGCCTTCCGATTCCGCCCGCTCTATTTCTCAAGGTTCAGCACTTTCGTCGATACCAAAATTCCGCAACGAACATATAGAAATACAGAACAACGAGGAGTGAGAGTGCAGACAAGTAGGGTGTTGGTATAGCTAGGGATGTGGCTCACCATGCCTCAGCGCGGGCGGAGTATGGAAACGGCACCTGGGGGTCCTATAGCACGTTCCCGTGCACTTACGATCAGAAGAAGTGGCACGCTATTCAGCTATGGAACCATTTACCTCACCTACGTCAGGGGCCGTCCAGTTAGGTGATTCGTGGCTGAAGCAGATATGGAAGGCACATTAAGCCAAACATCCGGAAATGCAAGGGACAGTATACGTGCGATTTCAGTTGGACGCCAGTCTTTCCCTATCAAAAAATTTAGGAAGCCCGTCAAGGATTCAGACTGAACCAAGTTATTGTTGAAAATATAGGCTATAACAAAGTACAAACTAGACTAATATAAAGGCTTAAGAGTCAAGGATCCATTACAACAAATTACCCCGAAGAACAGGTAGGACTACCTCGTGTGTTCCATTCGTCTACTGACATACTGTGCAGATGTTGCTGTTGTTTCGAACGGAATTTCCAATCTTCGACGTAACATTGCTGAGCGAATTGCGGAAAGCACTGCCGGAACAGTTCGAGCCATTTGTTTTCCAATTCGGCTGAGCTGAAAAGAGTCACATAATTTCCAGTAAACCATGATCACTATGACATTTCCACATTTTACGAGACTGCTAATAAAATCTTGCACTCACTACATATCCATAGGTTCGGCGTCGCTCTTATGAGCGTTTTGAACGTGCAGTTTCAGTTTTGAATGGAAGGCGGCCGTCGTTTCACAATGGGGGCATTGCCACTGAAATTATGAAATTTACGAAGATTCAAGAAGATTGCCGGAGAAACCCGGCAAACAATTTGTGACTAAAAATCGGAGCATAATTTGAAAGGTTGAACGCCATAGTATAGGTCATACAGTCCCCTTCGCTGCGCATGAAAGGGTGTGTCGACGAGATGGATTTGGCCCAGCGCCGAAGCGGCTCCACCTGTTGTTGGAGCGAGAATCAGCAAGGTCGTAATGTATGTTATATCGTTGGTATCAGTCCAGCAACTGTTCCGCTTACCCGTTTCAACAACTAGTAAAGAATACGTTTGCCGCCGCACCAAATCCATCTCGTCGGACACGCCCCTTCATCAGCAACGAACCAGGCTATACGTTGAACTCTTGAATCATCGAATTGTGGCTGTTCTCGTGCCAGTGATAAAGGCTACGTAGAATTAGCCCAACATTATGCCGCGGTTAAACAAGAAAACGGCAAAAGAGTTTTTCGATGGATTCCGAGACGATTTTTCTAATAGGAAAGCTCGGGTTTGCTGCACCACAGTTCATATTATAGAAAAATAAACCTAACAGTCATTGAAAGCCCCTGTCCCCTTTTTTTCAAAAAGTACGAACCTGTCTTTGAGGGCAATGGGACTTGGCATGACCGACGAGCATTTACACAGTCCTGAAAATTATTGCTTTAACAGAATGCGAGTCGGCTATTCTCAAAGTATTGCTGAAAATCTGTATTTAGAAACGAAAAATGGCACATTTTCAACTCATCATAAGAAAACGCAGCAAGGGTGGGAGATGACGTAGCGTCTAGAAGATAAACGAAGAAACATAACGTCCCGCTTGTCGACTACGGCCAACTGGCGAAGCTTTCCAACCTTCAGTACTCAGAAGTGATCTACCGGCTTTTCACGAAAGATTTACTCCCTTTAATACTGATCACGAAAGGTCGCGTCGTGGTCATGAAAGTCATCGCAAAAACCTTTACAGGCGGTCAAAACACCCAATCCGACAGCAAATAGAAAAGCTTGGAGCAGCGAGATGGCGAGTGGCATGTTGGTTGGCGAGTTATTCAGGTTGAGGTAATGAGTATTCTTTAATTTTCATTGTATTTAAAACGCCTTCGCGTTCTTTGCAAAAGCCGTGTACGAAGAGAATGAAAGACTGTGCTCCTCGAGCTACAAGAACCCACTGAAGTACTCTGGCACGCAAGTGAGACAAATGGAGATATTACTGGTGCTCGCTTGAGAAGTTTGGTAATTAGTGGCCCTTTTTCATCTACTCGAATCAGGTACCAATTAATTCACAGCTGACAGGTTGGATGCACGATTGCTCTGAGCACACTCTACAAATCATGTGGGAGCGGTGCCAAGAGCCATAGCCCCACTACCACCAAGTAACGTTACTGAACGTCATTATCACATACCTAGCCTCCTCGTTTTGAAGCGCACCCTTACTGGATTTCCTCCGTCTTGGATGAACTACTTGATTTCCCCCGTCTTGGATGAAAAAAGCCATGATTCCCGATGAATAGGCGTTTGCAACAAGTCGCATGTTTCGTTTCACAGCAAAACTTCAATAGGGGTTCCAACTTTATCCCGAACAAAGCCTGCGAGTAATATAACTGTATTTCAGGCTCATTTTCAAGGAAAGTCAGGTCATTTTTCAATATCGTTCGGTCGCAGACTCTATTTCAGAGCGTTGAAAAGCCCCACAAAAAAAAATTCATTCACTCACCGCGCACTCCACTCTACTTCCGAATCGTTCGACAGATAACGCATTATGATTTTTCCG